GCATGTGTGATCCTGCCACACATGATGAGACATACAAAGCTCCTTGCGCCCGAAAAAGGCAACAAATTGAATAATTACATCCTGTCTGCGCAGCGCTCATGAAAAACAAAGGTATTCCCCGGCTGAACACATGGTTTTTCTATTATGTGAAACCCCTTGGTTTTTTTCGGGTAAACCAAAGACCCCTGGGCCGCCAACCCCACAGCCGGCTCCCAGGCTCCTCCCAAATCATCGTTCCGAAAGCGAAGACATGCACCGTCGTGGTCCAGCACCTGAAGTCAGAAAAGGGGTGCCGCACTCAGACGGTAGGGGTGCCCATTATCCACTCACTTGGGGTCTTGATGCTGCTTCTTCGGGGGTCATGAATGCTTCCCCCACCATTGGGGGGGGTTCTTTAGTGGGTGGCACCAGAAGCCGCTCCACGAAAAAGTGCAGGAAAAAAGCGAAACATTTGACGATTTCCGTCCTCTGTTGAAAGAGCGCTGGTACCATGTACGGTGGCGTGCTCGTCCATTGCATGGACCCGGTGCACCGTTCACAACCTAGTCCCACGGTCGAAGGCGCCGCGCTCGGAATTGGCCCAGGCGCCGCCCGGGACCAACTCCGTCAAGATGCTCAGCGCCGAGGCGTGCGACAAACCGCCGTGAGGGTCACCGCGTTGGGATGCCGCGGCTTGCGCAGCATCCGGACCTCGTTCTCGAACTCCGACTTCAACCTGAGAGGTGACCGACTATACGAGCACCCTCCAAGATCCAGCCAAACTCCTGATGACAGGTCCGAAAACAGCCCCGCCTTGGAGGGTGCTACTATAGGACCCATATTCTGGGGTAGTCTTTGAGATCATTGAGGATACTTTGATATTGTCTTTTGGGTTCTTCAGCCTTTGTTGGCTGGTCAATGGGAGAGAAACCTCCTGCGGCAAAGTGAGAGTTTGGCGAGGGAAGGGTTTGGGAGCACCGGAACTGAAGCGGTCGATGGGTAAAGAGAGCTGGGGAAGTCTGGACATTTGCTCAGCAAAGTGTTCTCAGAGCTGGCTCAAACCAAGAAACAACAGGATGTGTCACCCTATATATGCCCTTCCAAGACCAGAACCAATAGTGGTTGACCTGGTGTACTCTAAACTCCTTCAAAAACCTGGCCGGCTGTTCCGGTTTTGATCAGCGGAGATGGCAGGTTGGCCCCATGGATCCAGGATCCACGGCCATTTCAAATGAAATTCCCTCAAACAACAGCCTTATCCTTCCCAAGTTTATCTTTGAGTAGTTTGTCTTAAGAAAAACGAACTCCACAACGAGGGAATCGAAGGAATCGGGATGAATCGGGTCCTGCAACGTTGCTTCAGCGCCCCTGTGGCACGTGCCTCGAAGGAGGGGATGCCGCGAGTGGGAGGATAGAGGGAGGTGGCTGCAAAGAAAAATCGATCGGAAGTGCTCAGTATAGCCATCAAGAAATCCATGACTCTTGAATATGTACTCTTGAGACAGCCACGCCTCCAAATGAAGGGCAGTACCATTAGTATAGTCATGTATAGCCGGTGTAGCCTAGCATCTGCCTGTTGTATTGGGATATAGAAAACTGACTAGCAATTCCTACCGAATCTCCTCAATACAAAGGCCTACGCCAACCCCGATACCTCCCCGTCCGCCACGTCCAAATGATGGGACCCGGGTGACTGGAACCTCTGTGACCGGAAGCCACTCGAGCGGGAATGGACCCAAACCGATATAAAAAGGAACCAATTCAGACTCCCCACTCCAAAAACAACAAGGGATTTTGATGATTCTTGAGGCGTTGCTGAGGGCACTAGATTTGCTTCTTCGTTTTCTTTTGGATTTGAGGGAAACCACGCTGCGCGGCTGTGAACGGCAAAACAAAAAAAAAAACCTTCGGCCCTTCGGCTTCGGCCTTGGGTGGCATAATCATCTTCATCGCCTCCAACTCCACATCGGCCTCGTCCTTCTTCACCAGGCCGCCTGGGGAACGGACGCCGTCGCCTCTTCAGGCGAAGGCAGCTCCGAACAACCAGAGCAAGGTGCTGCTTCCGGGCCATGTTGATGGACACGTTGGTTTTGAGCTTCAATGTCATAGATTGTCATATACTAAACCATCTATTTAAACCAATCTCATGACTCCTTCAGATAGGTTAGACTTCACTGGAAATCTCTGGAGTCGGTGTTTTCACATGTGAAAACACCTTTACGTGAGGCGCGTCTCGGTGCGTCTCGGTCTCCTTGCCGGGGATCTCCGCGCAGGTCACCTCCTGGGCGCCCAAGGACCGCAAGAGCTGGTGCATCCGGCGACTGAACCAGGGATGCACCGTCCTGGCCAGGGGTGGCAGTTGATTTGGAAACATTTGGACAACAACAGGGCAGAAACGCCGAAAACTTCGAACTACAGGACCCCAGGTGCTTCCGACTGCTCCTTTGGAGCGGTGGCACCACGTCTCGACCGTTCTCCTCAGCGCATCTTTTCATCTACCACGCGCTTAGCAGTCGAATCACCACGTCTCAACCGTTCTCCGGCAACTTTTGCTTCCATACAGCAGCTGAGCCCAGCATGGATCTGAGCTAATCATCCGCTTCTGGGAGTCCGGAGCAATTCCTGGCGTCCAAAAGACCTGAATTTCACACATCTACAGAAGCAAAATCGCAAAAGCGCCAAGTTAAGAAAGCAGACCTAACAAAACATTCCAACCACAGCTCTTTAGTTTCTAGTTGAAAGAAGTCACCCCCAAAGAGCTCCTAGCGAGTCGCCCGAGCACTAGAGATTTCCTACGTCACTACTTCAATAGTTTAGCTTTAGAAATCCCACACCCGACAACAACCCACCACTGTCAACCATCGATCTGAACGGTGAAGTCTTGTGATTTTTGCTTGTAAAATGCCAGTCTTGTAACTCCCAGAACAAGATTCCAGCAAAAAAGGCAAACACCACACAGGACTCAGGTACTACACTAACCAGAAACACCACACGCAGAATGTGGAGGTCGAAAAAAATGAAAACGCCACACAGAAATCATGCAGAAAATTCATGATTCAACATTCCCAGAATCTACACTAGAACTGAACTTGTCAGTTGCCTGCATTGAGTGCATCCTGCTGCTGCGAACACAGATCCAAACAACAAAAGCCTTCAAGGGACTTCATTGACGACACCGACCCAACGGAGGCGGGGTGTGGACCCTGAAACCGCCACTCATCTGTGATCCAACCTAGACCAGGCCAAAACTAAGGTCAAAACAAATACTGTATGAATGTATAAGTTATAAATATATATTGACAGCGAGAGGGCCTTTTTGACATGGTGCTTTAGTCAGTGTTTTTGCCGCACTTGGCCAGGTGTCGTTGCTGAAGCAATTCCCCAGGAGTTTCCTGACAAAAACCATCTAAACAAAGCTCTTTAGTTTCTAGTAGAAAGAAGTGACCCTCAAAGAGCTCGTGATTTGCTACGTCACTACTTCAACTGTTTGGATGTGATCGTGGCGACCAAGGTGAGGCTAATACAACCTACCCAAAAGATCTATAAATTGGCTTACCCACCCATGACTTCTCAACCGTAGCACAAACCAAGGGGGGTGAATATTCGTCCGAAAATCTAGTTTCCAATGTGGTCTAGGAATGTAGTTGTCCACAATGGTTGGTATAGGGTATCGTAAGTCACAAAATCACCCAAGTCCAACCACCTGCCAGCATAACATGCCGACAGACAAGGCAAACACCCACACGGAGCAGGTACTACACCAACCAGAAATGATGTTCCATCTCCTTCAAGGATCTTGTCTCGTGCACCTATGACAAACCGCATTCCCGGAATAACACGCCGCAAAAAATCGCGAACGCCACACACGCATCAGGTGGCACACCAACCAGAAGCACCACACACAGAATGTCGAGGTCAAAAAAAAGTGAAAACACCACACAATAGAAATCGGCCAAAAAAAATACGCCCAGGTAAAGCCCCCAACAGCGCGAAACATCAGAGGGGTTCTGGACATGCAGCTAGCTCCACATCCATAACCACGCCCCGGAACCTTCGGAGTGCATCTGGCGACCCGGAGCCTTCCAAGCCGCGCTAGAACCACGCGCAAACCATGCACAGGCACCTCCTCCTGGGCCTCGTCCAGAACCTGTTCCGGAACCTCCTCCAAGACTCCAGAACCTCTTCCCGCACCTCCTCAAAAACCTGCTCCAGAACCTCAGCTCCGCAAGCTCCGCAAGCTGCTCCAGAACCTTCTCCAGAACCTCGCCCAGAACTTGCTCCAGGACCTGCTCCAGAACTTCCTCCAGAACCTGCTCTGCACCTTCTCCAGAACCTCCTCCAGAACCTTCGGAGGAACCTCGTCCAGAACCTTCTCCGGAACCTGCTCTCAAGCCTCCTCCAGAACCTTCTCCACAACCTTCTCCAGAACCTGCTTCAAAGCCGTCCCTCCTTCTTGTGCGCCTGCTCCGGAACCTCCTCCAAAATGGGCCGGAACCTGCCGTGGAACCTGCTCCGGAACCTTCTCCAGAATCTCCCCCACAACTTCTCCGCAACCTCCTCCGGAACCTGCTCCGGAACCTGCTCCGGACCCTTTTCCGGAACCTCCTCCGGAACCTACTCTGGACCCTGCTCCGGAACCTTCTCCGGAGCTTGCTCCGCATCTACTCCGACGCCTTTACTCTGGCAGACGACCCCTAGCTTCGCTGTTGGGGAACAAGAGGCAGTGCAACATGCCGGCACAAAAGGGGGGTGTTCCATATCTTTCCAGGCTCTTGTCTCGTTCACCCAAACGATACCGCACTCAGTTTTCAGCCTGGAAATGGTGGGCTAGTCTGCAGGACCATTGTTCATTCCTAGCGCCACCCTGCGGCAGGCATCCCCCAAAGTCCGTCTCTCACCCCCAAACGCATCCAAAAACTTCACCAAAGAATCGTGCGGAGCACAAAAAATTCCAGACAGCAACCCCCTAGAAGTCCGAGGCACCCAGGAACCATGTGCAGACTGCACCACCTCTAGGCATCTCACGGCAACACGTGTTGCAGCACCCGCGTCAATGACCTTTGCATTGCCTGTTCGCTATCCCAAACGCACGCAGGCAATGCTGTCGGTGGCGGAGAAACTGTAGTAAGGAAACGCGCTTCCGCCAGAGCACGACGACTGTCAGTGAACGCGCAGGGTGTGAACACCGTGTTGGATGGAGGCAATGCCTGCAATAAGGCTTCCAGGACGCTGACGCCATTTTCCGCGTGCCAGTCAAATTGCACCGCGGCCACGCGCACAGCACTAGGGTCAGCACGCGATAGCAATCCCTCCAGCCCGTGCTTTTTACAAAGCAAAAAGAAATGTAGCAGGAATTTGCTCTCCAAGGCCATGAAAGTGCCGCAGTTGCTCTGCTTCTTGCAACCGCCACTGGACAACAACCGCGCCAGCCGAAGAAATTTACCTCGTAGCGGCAAGACCCACGACAAAAATGTCTGCCACAATTAAAAAACACACAGAGCAAGATATGAAGACTTCTATACCCAGCAACTTCATCTTCACATCTATCTACATCCGCAAACCCTCACATGTACAGATCGACATCATCTTCACTTCTGCAGACCTACATCCACACACCCGACATCTGCAGCTCGCACCCTGTCTCTTTCTCCCTCTCTCTCACTCTCTCTCTCCCATTAACCGTACTTTTGGTTTCGCCAGAGTTTCTAGTTGAGACTCTGTAGCACTGTTGTCCTATGGCAAAACGAACAGTAAGCTCAAGGCTGGAACACTGTCATTCCACTACCCAAAACGTAAAAGGCTGTGAACCCTCAAATGGCACCTTTCCATGTCCCCGGCCTATCTTTCGCATGAACTAAAACATAGTACCTCAAAACAAACATCTCACCAAACATGTCGCAAAAAGAGGCCTTGAAAAGAACAAAGGCCGGAGCAAATTGCCTGACGTCACTCAGCCACTTTCCTTTAAGTGATCCCCACCATGACATTTCAAAGCAGCCACGTTGACATCTATCTGACGTATCTTCTAACACTCTATCTGACAAATCTTCCGACATTCCATCTGACATTCTATCTGCACTACCTTCGAACACTCTATCTGGAACAGATGACTGCGCGGGTTCCGCGCTGTTGCACTGTACTCCTACTGTCGAGCCCATGTATGTGTGTGTGCCTGCGATGGACAAGGGCCAAGTGTACAGGCTACAGAGTGATGCCTGGTACCGTTTCTTTGTCCCAATAGATGTTGTTGTAAAGGTCCGAGTCAAGCGTGGGTTGTGGTTGTGTCTTTGTGGTTGTGTATGTGATTGTCTGTTTGTGGTAGGATTTGTAATTGTGTTTGTGGTTGTGTCTTTGTGATTGTGTTTGTAGCTGCATATTTGTGATGGTTTTGTGTAGCTGCATGGTTCAGGTCCGGTGGCGAACACTGGGCGCGGCTGCTCGTGGTTGAGGTCCGGCAGGAAACGCTGGGCGTGGATGATCGTGGTTGAGGTCCGGCAGGGAACACTGAGAGGTCCAGGAGCAAGGAGGACGAAAACAAGGAGAAAAAGGAGATGTCAGCTAACATACAATCTCACAACCCTCACCTGGCAGGTCGGGAAAAAAGCCACACTTAATCCTGGAAATGGCCGGGGTTCAAAGTAAGATACCGGACCCTGGAAACCTGCTCTAGGTATGCCATGTTCTGGTGGCGGCGTTGCAAAGGTTCTGATACGTGGGGGAGACCGAGAAAAGTTTGTCTGACCAAGGCACCCCATATGCAAGGCACAAACTGCAACGCATAGACGCAAAAGGAAGCTTGGAGGTGCTGGTTCACAAGCTTCAACATTGCCGTGCAATGAGGCAGGCTTCTTGCATCCACCGGCTGTGGCCCTCCAGCCTTCTTGTAGAAGAGCCGCAACGCTGGGCCAACAAAGCCCCAACGCTGCCGGACCAGGAGCATGTCTCTACACGCCACGCAAGCGCATCTCGCAACAGGCTCCTCCATGGAAACTGCCGTGTATGGTGGTTGCGACACCCGCCGACACGCACAGCACAAAATGAACCAGTACAACGTGTCCAAGACAAACTTGCTGGCGTAGCATGCTGCCCTGTCCTGGACAGAGCCACTCGCACCAGGACGCCCAATAAGGTCCATCTGCAAAACCCCATCCATGAGGTTGACCACAGCTTCTTCTAGGCCGTTTGCCGCCACCCTTTCCGTCTGTCCAAGCTCACCTAAAATCCGAAGAATAGCACCGGCACACGTCATAGCTGCATACGACCAGCTGTCCAAGGCAACAAGCATGTGATCTAGCCGCCTGTCATCCGGAGCAAAGGATGGCAACTTTAAAGAGTATACCCGGCATCGACCATCGTTCTGATCGCGATACCCTTTCACTGACGACCTGTAAGCCCAGTCTCGCAGCAGGCCCATGCGAAGGGTCTTCACTACACTCTCCCGAGTGTCAGGCGTCAAACCACCACCGAAGACCTCACGAACCTTCGCCTCACCCAATGCAATCAAGGCATTCTCCAGAAGCTCCGGCCGTCCAAAATACCGAAAAGGGCATATGCACAACAACCACAAAGCGACAGTGGGTTGTGTCACTGAACTGTGTCCAAAAAGGTGTACGTAGAAGTGGACACACGTCTTGGCCCTGCTACGGTAGGCAGTGTCAAGCTTGTGCTCCACGTGCAACAAAGCCTTCTCCTCCGCCACCGGCAGACCTGAAAAGAAACTTTGCAATTCCTCCCGCACGGACGTGTCCAAGAGGTCTGCAGGCTGCCGACTGGCCACAAGGCCAAGCATCCGAACAAAGCTTGCAGTCAAAGCGTGGTCGCTCAAGCCAAGCTCTCCCTCCAAGGCTGAGCACAGACGCACCAAGGAAGGGGACAAAGTTTGATGTGATTCCTGCCGATAAAGATCCAAGGGCTCCCAGTCCGAAGCTTCAATCGCACCGCCATCATCATCGTCCTCTATGTCATCTCCGTCTTGGTCGGAGCCAGGATCATTAGCAAGAGTCAAGCTGCCATCACCTTCAAAGACACCGAGCTCCACAGGCCGCTTCTGACTCCGTCTGAACGGATACCCCGCTGCCAGCGACACCTTAATTTTTGCAACAGCGGTCTCCGCAAAGTTGTTGCCTAAGCGACATTTCGAAAGGAAATCCACCGCCTCAATCATCTCACGTAGTGCCTCGTGGAGCTCTGGAGCTAAGGGCGCACTTTCCCAGCGAGCCTTCAACAAGGCCTGCCAAGTTGTAACCACACGCAAGGCCTTGCCAGGACACTCAGAGCTCCGGACCACAGGCTCGCGATTTGAAGCATACGTGTATAGCTGCCGGCCCCAGGCCACTGGTGAATCTTGTATAGACAGCTTCGGGCAATTCACAGGCAAGAAACTACGCAAACACTCCAGCGACTGCTCGTATGCCAGGATCTGGGGCAAAATCGCCTGGTCGAAGCTGTGTTTGTTCTTGTACCCAGACTTGCGATTAAAGATGCAACGGTTCAGCTCTGGCCCCAAAGTCGCAACCACGCCGTGGTAGATGTCTGCGCGAGGCCTTCGAGGTTGTGTTTCCACAAGTCGTTCTGCTTCCAAAATCTTCTCCAAAACGGAATACACAGCAAAGAACGGCAGCGGTAGCTGCAGAAAGTCCGGCGGCACACCGGACGCAGGCATGGCTGCTTTGGATGGCAACCTCTACATATACAGGCTAGCACCTGCACCCCCTGCATACACAAACAACAACAAGAGGTGATCGTGCCAAAATTCGACACGCTTCCGACAGCCAGACCCTGTTGGACCACGGTTAGCTCTAGCTTTAGAAAGCTCAAGCAACAGTTAGCTCTAGCTTCAGGTAGCTCAAGCAACCGTTAGCTCTAGCTTTACATAGCTCCAGCAACTGTTGGCTCTAGCTTTAGGTAGCTCTAGCAACAGTTACCTCTAGCTGCAGGTAGCTCAAGCACCAGTTACCTCTAGCTTTAGGGAGTTCAAGCAACAATTAGCTCGAGCAAAAATTAGCTCTAGCTTTAGGTAGCTCAAGCAACAGTTAGCTCCAGCAACCGTTAGCTCTAGCTTTCGATAGCTCCAGCACCAGTTAGCTCTAGCTTTAGGTAGCTCACAAAAGTTGCATCCAAATGTCAAGTGGCTCTGTGCTATGTTTCCTCATGATGCAATTTCACCTCCCACACACATGTCCTACATGTGTTATATTGGCATGTATTTGTGGCACTGTTCTGACTATTTTGCAACGTGACTGCTGCTGAGGTGAATGAAGCATCAGACACCACACAACGACCAAGCGACCGAGCTTTGGTGCCTGGTTAAATCCAAGTTCAGCACTTGGGGGTTGTGAAACTTCGCGTGACAAGAGAACATTGAGATTACAATATTTAGACCCGCCGGCAGTGCCACCTTGGAAGTGGTTCGGCAATATGTTTGGACTGCAGTTGCGTCACCTCTTGGACATTTAACCCGTGGGTGGTGCCCTGAGCACGCTAGTCTTTGGCCGAAAACACCTAACTAGACGAATTGAACCGACTGGTGCATGTTAACAGACACTTTAGCAAGACCCCAGCTATGTCTCATGAACTGTTCTTTCTCCGCTGGAGACTATCGCACCAGACTGCTGTCGCTCTCGCTCTCTCTCTCTCTCTCTCACTCTCTCTCTCTCTCCATGTTTCCGATGCTGACACGACAGACCTTAACCACCAGTCCCTTGACATCCCAGTCTTTGGAGATCACAAAAAGTTGACCATGCCAAACTTCCGTGTTACGGACCTTCGACAACTCCAGCTCGACAACTGACTGTATGAAAGAAACACGAAACCTCACACGACCAACAATGTCGAGTCCAGCCGCCCCCAAACCGCGAGACCCAACCATCCACACATCCCCCGGTTAGACATAGCCATGCTGAAAGTAGATAGACGTGCTGGAAACGCCACTCCTTTCGGGAAGGTCACCCCAAACTTGCCCAAAGACAAAAACCGGAGATTATGCAATTCCAGACCTGGACGCTTGCATCGCTCGATCGGAAGTACATAATCTCACCCCCCAGCCTCTAGAATCCCCCTTTTTGCAAAGTCTCACCTTTTTCTTCACTCCCGACCCCTGGACCTCTTCGCTCCACGACCCGTTCCCTCCGGCCTGACCCTCCAGAAGGCTGGCGTGCAGCGCCTCGTCGCAAGCACCAAGCTGGCGTCGATGCCACTCGCCACCACAGCCGGCCATGCAGATCGATGTTTGTCTTCAACGCAGGAATGTTTTAACTGATCCTGCTAAATCCTAACTAGACCATGTCATGTCATCTTATCTGTCGTATTATTAACCATATTGTCTGATTCGATTTTTGCATTGGAGATGATGAAATCGACCGAAACATGTTGTTTGCAAGGAAGATGTTCTAAGTGGAGTGATGTAGGCTCCTGTCGGTCTTCTGTCGGCCATCTTTACAGAGTTGCTAGTGACTTGTTTCAGTCGGTCTTCTGTGGACAAGGAGAGTAAACTGAGTCAACTCACAATCCAGAGAGCAGGCAATGAAACGCTCCGCACGGGCACCGACCTCGACACCGGAAAGAAACGACGATTCCAGAAGAGCAACCTTTAAAAGGACGACTGAAACCCCTGTTCGAAAAACCCTCGCAATGCCAACCAGTGGAGGAAAAGCCGGACCTGAGAATCCGGGGTCGGCGGCAGGGGCGGCAGCCCTTAAATCCGGGCGCCGGCCACGCGCCCGTGTCCTTGCCGGAGGCCTTCGGTTGGTAACCGAAGGTTATATACGCTCGCGCCCCCTGCCGCCGACCCTTTTGTTGGACCGCGGGGATACCCCTGGTCGACCCCCGGTCGAATCCGGTCGACAGATTTTTATGTATCTTGCGCTGGATGTTCGAAAATTGTTCAAAAACATCATTTTTTACAGTGTTTCGTGGCCTTCGGCGTCCACGACAGGGTGCCCGTGGTGTCAGTTATGCGTGCCGCGCGGACAGGCTTAATCGACATTTCGTGGGTGTTGGGCACAGAAGTTGCCTAACATATCCCCAACATAGGCCCAAGATAGCCAACATATGCCCAACATAGCCTCCAAGATGGCTCAACATAGGGCCAACATGGGGCCAACATAGGCCCAACCTAGGCCAACATAGGCGTAACATAGGCCGACCTAGGCCCAACATAGGCTCAACTTGGGCCCAAGATGTGCCCAACATAGACCGCATGGGCTCAACTTGGCCCAACCTACGGCCAAGATGCGCACCAGATAGCTCCACCAAGTCTCAAAGAGAGAGACAGGTGTGTGAGAGAGAGAGAGGGGGAGAGACAGAGAGACAAAGAGAGAGAGACAGGACCCAGCCCTGCACATACCCAAACCCAAATAGGCCGGCGCCCGGCTGTCAGGCGTAAGCCTCATAAATCCGGGCGCCGGCCACGGGCCCGTGTCCTTGCCGGAGGCCTTCGGTTGGTAACCGAAGGTTATATACGCTCGCCGCCCCTGCCGCCGACCCTTTTGTTGGACCGCGGGGATACCCCCGCCCGACCCCCGCCCGAATCCGCCCGACAGATTTATATGTATCTTGCGCTGGATGTTCGAAAAATGTTCAAAAACATCGTTTTTTACAGTGTTTCGTGGCCTTCGGCGTCCACGACAGGGTGCCCGTGGTGTCGGTTTTGCGTGCCGCGCGGACAGGCTTAATCGACATTTCGTGGGTGTTGGGCACATGAGTTGCCTTACATATCCCTAACATAGGCCCAAGATAGCCAACATATCCCCAACATATGTCCAACATAGCCTCCAAGATGGCTCAACATAGGGCCAACATAGACCAACATGGGGCCAACATACGCCAACATAGGCCCAACATAGGCCCAACCTAGGCCAACATAGGCCTAACATAGGCCGACCTAGGCCCAACATAGGCTCAACATGGGCCCAAGATGCGCCCAACATAGACCACATGGGCTCAACTTGGCCCAACCTGGGGCCAAGATGCGCACCAGATAGCTTAACTTTGCTCAATAGGAGAGGGAAAGAGAGAGAGTGAGAGAGAGGGAGAGGGAAAGCGAAAGCGAGAGAGAGGGAGAGAGAGAGAGGCAAAGACAGCGAAGACGGAGACAGAGAAGACCGAGACAGAGACAGAGAAGACAGAGACAGAGACTGACAGAGAAAGAGACAGAGACAGAGACAGAGACAGGGACAGAGACAGAGACAGAGACCGACAGCGAGAGAGAGAGAGAGAGGGAGAGGGAGAGGGAGAGAGGATCCAGTGCGCGGACTCTAACCCAAATTGGCCGGCGCCCGGCTGTCAGGCGTAAGCCTCATAAATATATACTAAGTCTATATATTATATATACTCTATATACTCACTAAGTCACTAAGTGTTTATATCACTCTATTGCAATCCAACCGGGGAGGAGTAACCATTTTTGATTGAGAATCTATACGTCACCGATTCCCCGTGGAAAGTCCGTTCGGTGCACACCTTCGTTCGAAGCACCGTCCGAATAATGGTCGTCTTCTTCGGTCAGTGATGTAGACTACTCTTGATTGATAAAAATGATTAAAAAAAAAAAAAAAACATCCCGGGAGGTTGGAATGGAACCTCGTTTTCACACATGAGGGGGATATGGTTTTCGGTTAGATCAATCAAGAGATATCAAAGGAGCCGCGTCTCGCGCCTTTCAACCAGTCCGATCTCGTCCACTCAGGGGATTCCGAATGTATTGATACTGGCCCCTCGAAATAGAGAGTGGCATCGTCTCCAATAGATTTTTAGTGGGAATCGAATACCATGTGAAAACACCATGCTCTATCGATTTGGGAGTCTATCACAGCGGAGAGCTGCGACGTCACACGTGATACACGTACGTCACGTGACCGTGGCGCGCGTGACGTCCCGGCATCCCGTCGGCGGCCCAGCAGCCACATAGCGCCGCGCGAAGTTCATCAACGCCGCCGCTTCGTCTTCCAGCACCCTGCAGCGAGCGCGCACTGGGCGCGTCGACCAGTCGAGACCAGTCGTCCGACTTGATTCACATGTGATTTACGTGGATTTACCGATGGTGCTGAAGGAAGAACTTTGGCATCAATCGTCTGTTGCATCCTACACGTGTTGAACCTGCACCAGTCCTCTTTAAAAGGACAGTCTGAGTATCCAACACGTGTTGAACCGAGGCGCTTTTCCTCCTTGATTTCCAGCCCCAATGCTTCCCGGATGTCCACGGGCATGGGTGGTGGGGCTGATCGGATGGCTTTCAGCGCTCGGTAGTAGAGCTCGGTGTTCTCCTCGGCTTTCGCCCAAATCCGCCACAAGCAATGCATCTGGTAGCGCATCTGGGGAGCTGATGGAAGTGGTTCTGATTGGGTCTGAGATGAGATTTGGGGATTGGAGGGGATGGAAATGGATGGTAGGTCCTGGTAGGTGTTTGATCTTCAGGAAGCCTCATGTCATACAGACAAAAAGGAAGCCACATGTGTGCGCAGTGTGACTGTTAATCTCAACAAGCGTGGTCAGGATGAGGAACGAAGCCCGCAGAGTTTCTTTCAAGCTTGCCATGGGAGAGTACCTGCCTGAGGGCTTGGAGCAGCTCAGGAGAGGCGAGGTAAACATATGATCGAGGATTCTGAGTTGATGTCCAGGGAAGGACAACTGGACATCAAGGGTCCACACAGACTTACACTATCTTGGACTGGAAAGTCTGAGACTACATGAAGGAAGACTCAAGAACCAACAGAGCTCGGGGCGCCGAACTTGGAGGATAGGGGAAAATACACTCACTGTGACTCCTTCTTCCTGAAGAGGTCCATCAATGTCCGAATCAAACTCGGACATGCAGACGCCCATGGCCCGCCCATGGCCCGCCCATGGCCCGATGCGTTCGGTTGAAAAACGCAGTTGACAACGCAAAGCAAATGGACCGGGGAAAAAAGCACACTAGAAAATGCGTCCAGCACCTCCCACCCTGTGCGACTGGTATGTTGGATGAACTGGATGGACCTTCTCAGGAGTCAACGGGGGTTGTCTATTCAATTACAGTGGTGTCAGAGTAGATTCCACTGGCACCCCACCCGATGTCCTAGACAGATGGAGATTCCATATATAGACCACCTGAACCTGGGGGTGCCAGTGCATGGACTTGTGCCAATTGGTTTTACTGGAACTTGTTTGACTCCATGGACCGCCCCTGGGCGCTCCGCCGAGGTCCAGCACGTCGACGGGTGGAGCACGTCTCCCCCCAAAGATTCCAAAATCCCAAGGGGCCGTTGTCTTCGGAGATGTGTCATCACCCAGGACCCCCAAAAAATCAAAAAAAATCAAGATCTGCATGTTTCAAGATCGGCCTTCACCTTAACTAGCTGGCTGGATTTTGATGGAGGCCCCCATCAAATTACCCGTTGAACTTCCGTTGGGATGTCCTCCCAACTTTACATGCTCCCATGTGTGGCAAAGCACTCCAGCTCCCCATGCTTCGAGGGGCCCGAGAGCCGATAAACAAGGCCAGGCAGTTGAAGCACTCCTTCATCCTCGTTCCAACGGCCGAGGGCAGCGGAGCTGCGCTCGACGGACGTTCGGTGGGGGTAGGTGGTGTTGGGTCGGCTTGGGGGGTGTCGAGACGCTCGGAAATTCGTGCTTGGAGAGTACCAAGTTGTTGACTGCCGGGTGGCGATGTTCAAGTCGGCTTCATCGGCTTAAGCGGCAGGAAGTGCGGCTGGAGTGGCCCAAAGGAATTACCCAGATGCGACCCTGGACCCTCCCAAGTAGGGGCCGTACCCTCATATGGAGAGGTCCGGACCCGAACCAGTCCCTATGGTTTTGAGGGAAGGCTGGGCAATTGAGCAGTTGCTCTTGTGAGCAGTCTCCTGCAACATCCTCTGATGGGCCTGTTGCTGAGCGGCCCTGGGGTGGGCAAACCTATGAAAAAGTGGATGCTCTGGGTGCTTTTGGACATCTCAGATCTTCTCACAAAGCTACACTGGTTTCAGAGCAACTAGCACAAACCCCAAGAGGTGGTTTATATGGACCCCCATCTAAAGCACCTCTTGGGGTGCAAGTGCCATCTACTTCGAAACCACATAAACCACTGTATATACTTGTCTCGAGGACAATTGGACCATTGCACTCCTGTCAGGCCCCGTAGCTTGGAGGATGGACAGGATCCGAGTTCAACCTGTGCTCCGTCGGAGCTCTGGTGACTGATCCTCTGCGCTCACACCCCAGCGCTTTTTCAAAAGCCGAGCAGCTGTCTTCGAAGGTCTACGACCTGCCGGTCTTCAGAGACTGGTGGGCTGACAACCTGCTTTCAACATCCGGCAGGGTTGGTTTTTGTTGATCTATATATAATATATATATAATATATACAAGTGATAGAAGTCCTTCAGAGGATGCCCACTTTTCGTCTGTGCTTTTCTCGCCTGGGAGCCGCCAGCGGCTGGGCTACCCAGTTCTTTGAAATTCGACCGAGTCCGGCAGTTCAGCGGCCCAGGGTAGATGGCACAAACTGCCAGGCTGTCCTGGTACCCCTGTCCACTCCGAATCAACGCAAAAAAGAAAGCATCCAGCATGGATTCATTCTGATCATGTCACCTCTCGATCCCTCAAAAAGCAGGAGAGCTTATTCACCACAAAGAAAATAAACACATTCCCTTAGATTTCCTTGGGCTCTCCATGGCAGGGGTCGGACCCTCCATAGCAGGGGTCCGGACCCTCAAAACCCTATGTGTTTCCAGCGGCCTGCTGGGCCAAGACATGGCAGCGTTGTTCGCAGGCCTCCATACGCCTGCCGAGCGACTCCGGAGCCGAGAAGTGGGCGAATCCACCGGAGGGGCGTTTTTCGCGTTGGGTTGCCACCGGAGGGTAGTGGAACCTGTGTGAGGCACTGGGAGGATGCCAACTGATCAGTTTGGTCTTGACTAGGGCCCGCTAGGGCCTAGGGATGAATGAAGGGATCAAAATGGCCAATGAGTCCATGAATATCATGCAGATCTAATATAAGGTCAGCGATCAATGAGTTGGAGCAAATTCTTCGATTCCGCTCGCGGCGGGGTCTCTTCCGGAACTGGAACGTGTTCCTACCCCATAATGAGTGAAACACTCCTCAGTCAAACACTGCCAACGTCATATTCCGCTACCTTTTGTGTCATGACTATAGTGTCATGGCTCATTCCCTCCTAATCCCCTAATTACTCCATAGTCCACTACCACTTCGGGGGCAGAGAAGTCATGACTTCCGAACTTCCTGGACCTCTCACGATGCCGCTACCAGCGCCAGACCATGCGTGATGCTGAACAGCACCTAACCAAAGACCACGCGCGCACAGACGAACGAGAAAAGGAACGATGCGCCGAAAACCGCCGAAAAAAATACCGATCCCCAACAGAGGTTAAATAGGACAGTTACTGGGGGTATTTATGGGATAGTCGAACTAGGGTTCTTCAATCTCTGTTGGCCAAGGGGCTTCATCAAACTGTCGGACCACAGCGCCAACTTCGTGTAGTCCTTGGGGTCTATGTCCTGCGCCGGACCGACACGCACGGCTCTCGGGAAGGCGCTGGGGGAAGCCCAGGAAGGCGCAGAAGCTCGGTGAACATGAGGAGCTGCGACGAACACGCGGAAGTTGGTCGAGCTTGGTTCGTCCTATGAAACCGACGTACTTGAAATCATGGACTTCAAGGCTCTCTGGGCCTTCGATACCAGTCACCGCATCCCAGCGAGCGAAGCCGAAGCCTCAGAATCCCATCCAGCCCATCACTCCTCCAACATGGAAGTGATGCCCTGGACTAACCTCGAGGTAACGCACTGAATCCGAGCTCCGATCCGTTTTCGGCCAATGCGACGAACATGGAAGCCGGACAACAGCTTCGGCTGGACAAGGAGGGTCCTCAACACGGATCTTGATTGATTTGGTCATCGGCTTTCATGTGTACACACTCCACTCTCACCACCCACCCTGGGTTACTGGCCTTCTCCTACAGTACCATACCGGCACCCCTTGTATATAGCAGAACAGGCGGCCGCAAACCAACGGCGTCTGCGCGGTGATTTCACCGCGTCCGGGACGGCCCCCTCTTACGTCGAGACCGCAGGACTCCAAGCACCGAAGAGGTATGAATTCTATAATCAATTGCAATTGAAATATACCAGGACTCTCCAAGGGGTGTCCAATGGACTACCCCACACTACCTATAGGCTTCCAGACAGGGCACCCCGACAGGAGGGTCCTGGTATAGTATTGATAAAGCCAACGATTTGAGTGACGATGGACTTCCAAGCCAGATATCCCCTCCCATAGACCAAACAAACAAAGGTTAAGTGACCTTATATCTTTGGGTGGCAAGTGGAGTCTGCTTGTTGGAGGCTTTCTTGACTTAAAAACGACTCCACAAAAATCCCACTATATAAAACACCATGAAACCCTGGAAGAATCTTTGAAAACAATTGGGTTGCATTTTTGACACCAGCCCATTTTTGGGATTTCGTTTGGTTTTGATTGGGGTGAGGTTGGTTTCAATTGGATGTTAATTTCTGGTCCCAGCCAATTTTTGGGATTTGGTTGGGATGTGGTTAGGTTTGTTTGGTGTTTTAGTGGGTTTAGTGTGGCAAATCATCAGGCCCATAGATATATAGCCCACCAAAAAAGCCCACAAAAAAAGAAAAAACACACACACACAATCAAACCCCAACATTCACCTCAAATTACACACCAATACCACCCAAAACCTTGGGTACAGTCTTGCTCTTCAATTTTGCGACCCAGAAACAACAAGAGCGCTGAACATTTTCTCTGGGATTTTGCCAGCTTTCTCAGGGAGCTTACAGTGAATAATTGGGAGCCATCTGGGTTTCCATAGGCACTCGCTTGGGAAACACATGGGCCTAACATAATCATTATGGCATAATCTAAAACGCCTGTAACAAAGACGTCCTTGAGGGCATCTAATGAGTATAGGACCCTGGAGGTGTATTTATGGGATAGTCTATAGGAATCTTCAACCTTTGTTGACCCCTCGCATGTTCCATGAGTTTCATGTCAAGCCACTCTTGGAAGCTCACATGTCCACCTTGCTCGGGGCCAGTAGACGCGGCCGATGGCAGTTCCGCGGCACTCACGTGTTTCGTGGTGCTCGGGTCGTTCGTTTGGTTCTAGGGAGTTGCTGGTGGTCAGGGTGGTCAGCAGTCCTTCTTTGTAGGCTGTGAATCTATAAAGGCCCCGAAAAAGAGAGAAAACCCTGTGCGAGGCTGGAATTCATCAAGGGAATAAACGTGGATTTATTGCTGCGTGGAGGGAACAGTGCGTGCTGCAGCTTTGAGGGCTTCATGATGTTTCACAGTGTATTTCTCGCTTTGCGGAGTGCTTGATAACTTGATTCAACCGTTGTTTCCGCAAACATGTCGGACGTTGTCGATGGCCCACGAAGAGTTCCCACAAACCAACAGGATCATGATTTCGTCGGACGTGGGTTGAGAGTCAATGGCACAATCCCCAAAAGGTGGTTTATACGGACATCTTGGGGTTTGAGCCATCCATCTTCTCTGAAACTTTGCTCCAAAAGGTCGAACTAAACTTCTGGGCTGGTCTTGGCACGTTTTTGACACAGTCCACCTGTCATCTCCACTCGCACCCTGGCCATCGTCAGCTCTGATTTTTGGGCCCCACACCTCCCAGCTTCAATGGCATGTCTCCACAAAAAAGAGAGAAACCAATATACGCCACACCTCCCAGCTTCTTGAAACTACACACCCACCTCTTCTCACCTTCATTCCTCACCCACCCCAACGGCATCCCCTGCTCCACACCAGGTCGATCCAGGTCGTCGTCTCGCAGCGCTCCGCAGCGCTGGCAAGGCACGACCACTGAGGTCGAAGAGACGCATCAAGTTCTCAGAGCTCATCACCGGCACCTGAGCTCATCACCGGCAGGCGCCGGACCCCAGAGGTACTCAAAAAGGACCCGGTACGACCTGGGGGACCTCAGTACCCATATGGGATAGTACGGGATAGTCTATTTACAGCGTTGAGTGCAGGCACCTTTTGACCAACAGAGGTTTTTCATGGTTTTTCAGAACCCCTTGTTCAGGTCCCTGGCTACCTCGGTTGGTGAGGAGGAGGAAGAAGAAGGAGAAGAAGAAGCCGTCGGAGCTTTTCTCCGTGATTCGCAACAGTGAGGAAGGGACGGGCCTGGGGCGGGAAGGGGTGAAGGGAAGGGGTGGAAGGGGTGGGAGACACGAAAGGAGCTTGAGATGGACAGCATTGAATGAACGTGGGGGCCTCACAATCCTCCTGATTCCCATTTAAGATGATTGAGTGATTGTTGGATCTGCTTAAGACCATGATTCCCTTCTTTCGGTTCCGAAGGTGACCCGGGTCACCGGGTCACGCCATCCATCTCGCGATATCGCACGGGTCGCGCGTCGCTCGGAAGGCCTCCAGGAGCCGAAGGATTTGCACAAACTCCTCGCGGCGCCGCGGAGACGCAGCGCACATCGGGACGTGCGCTTTGCGCAGCGCAGAGCCGAGGAACGAGTGGACATGAACAACGTACATTTCATGATATGTATATTTTATGTTTCAAAATCAAAAGTTCATGTCAAAAAATTGTTCATGTATATCCCCCAAAAGGAGCAGCTGCCGAGGTTAACATCATGTTCCACGAGCTGTTTTCTTAGCACCAGCGCTGGGAGAGGGCTGGGAATTCCTGGAAGCTGCCGAGGTTTTTGAAACAACATTCTCATCATGGATGAATTGAAGGAGCTGTCCTGTCTCCGGAGGGCTCATGTCGTTCCATCATCAGTCATACTTATTCTTTTTATTATAGGCCCCTTCCGGTGTTTGGGGTGTCTATCTAATCAGTCACGAAAAGAGGCTTTGTTGAGGGGTGTCCTGGCATATATTATCAATGACGTATACCCTTTGGGATGATTGTTGATTGGATCAGATGTAACAAGAACTCCAGTCCGAGCTACTCCAGTCCGAGTTGAATCCACTGTCACAGCTCAGTTCTGCTTCTTGGTGTTCCATGGAAAGCCCATGAATAGCGCGACTTGCGGACTCATGAGGAACCACAGCCGACTCGGCGGTGAAGCAGTGAGGAACCAGGTACTGTTGATGAATACCCACCCACCCCCAACATGAAGAGGCTTTAGGCTTTATAAAGAGTCTATATGAAATCTTGCAGCCCCAGTCGACCCCTCCCCCCTTCCACAGTTCATCCAACTTCCAAGCTAATTCGGGCTCTGCCATCTGGGGCGAATTCTATACAGATGGCACTACAAATGGCCTATCATGGCCAACCACCAAACCTCCCAAAAACGTCGAATCCGCTCCGCTCCGCTCCGGCCTCGTTCTCCAAAGCGCGGTCCAGATCGCTTTGCGTCAGCTGACCATCACCGTCCTGCGCGCGTTTTAGCCGGGCCCGCGAGGCGGGGGGAGGAGAGCTTCCCTCTCACAATCTGTAGCCCATTGCGATAGAACATGTATTACTATGGCGGACCAACAGTTAGAATATGAAAACATGTTAGTTATAAAGTTATACATGCAATTCGTACACACACACACACACCGAAGTTTTGTTTAACGAAATGAACATTCACCTTAAGCCACTTATATTATATGTATAGGCGCCGTGCTTTTTGGTCAACACCTGCTATACTCAGCTTCAGCTGCTATGTAGGC